AAAAAAAAAAAAAAAAAGGGTAGCAGGACAGTCAAATGCTGTTCAATCAGCTCAGTGCACATTAGATATGCTAGGCGTCAATCCAGCGCTCGCCGTGCACAAATCTTATTTGATTCAAATGGAAACCAGGGGGTACAGAGGTCAGACGATGATAAATGCACCAGAACATAAATAATAAACATGAGCCACCAGTTTCACAAGCTAACATCTTAAAATGTAAAACCCACTTACACTCAACCAAGAGAAAGAAATGACCTTGGAACCAAGGAGTCATACTATAATGGCCCTTGCCACGGCTCATTATCAAAAAGCCATCAAACATAGCACGTGTCTGATCACTACAAAACACATCAGGCGGCTACCCCTAACCCAAAAGTAAAAAGGGCACAAGAATTTGCCAATGAACACGATACTCCAGTTTTGAGGCCTACATTCAGAACGTATGTAGGCTCTAAAACTGGGATATTATTCATTCAACATTTATGGAATACCCACTCTATGCTCTATGTCATATCAGAGCACTCTGTGCTCTATGTCATATCAGACCCTATCCTGGGGCATATGGGGTAACAAAGACTCAGCCGTGAGGCAGTCACCATCTAGCAAGAGACACAGACATAGAATTACAATACAATATGCTAAGTGAGATAATAATGTATACGAGATGAATACATAGGAGATGACAAAATTATATACTAAAAACACTAGTTCTGCAGGTTAAGTGTAGGAAGTCATCACTGAAGAGAAAAACTTTGAATAGCAGTTCATGAATAAAAAACTTTTCCAAAATACAGAAATGGAGAACAGAGCCTTTTTATAAAGATGATGTCTACCAACTCAGCAACTCATAAATACATTTTTAAAATCTAAAAGCATTTTTAAAAATTTTTTTAACGTTTATTTATTTTTGAGAGACAGAGTTAGAGCACGAGTAGGGGAGGAGCAGAGAGAGAGGGAGACACAGAATCCAAAGCCGGCTCTAGGCTCTGAGCTTTCAGCACAGAGCTTGATGCGGGGCTCAAACTCACGGACTGTGAGATCGTGACCTGAGCTGAAGTTGGACGCTTAACCAACTGAGCCACCCAGCTGTCCCTAAAATCTTAAAGCATTTTTAAGTGACAACATAGAAGGTATTCCTCCAAGTCCTTTACAGCTAAGCATGGCATTGAAATCAGCACTGCCCAATAGCTAACAAACACTCAGCTAAGAAACCAACATTCACAGAGGACTTCCACTAAGAGAAAAGGTGCATCCAGTCTTTCCATCTGCTCTGGGTTGGGGGGAGGGAGGAGCAGAGAGCAGATCACTGTCCACTCTGGGGCTGGGCTGCAGAGAGTGGCTTTTCTGAATTGCGCTTTGGTGTAAAGCCTACTTGCCTACCTCAATGGTCAGAAGGAGAGACAGCCTCATCTCTCGTTCTCTCTCAACATTTAAGCAGTTCGTTCTCTAGAAAAATCTATCACTTTCTTCCCCTTCTTTCCCCTTACCCTGCTATTTCAAATTTATATCCTGTAATTTGTATATCCTCACAAGCTGGATTAGATCCTCCTTTGTAGAATGGTACCAGTTAACCAAAATGGAACCATCTCTCTTTCTAATTCCTACTGTCAGCTTCCTCACACAAGACAATATGAACAGACTACAGCCCCAAGACACAGTCACTAAGGAGTCAAGACAGTAGCCCTCTTTGGCTCTGGCCCTCTGCCAGGGTACAAGAGGCAAGCAGTTAGGTGTTCTTACCTCTTCAGTCCTATCAATCCTAATAACAGCATTTATGTGACCTGGGAAGAAATGACAGACAGGCCCAAGTTCCTTCTTACTCTCTGACAGTCTTGGCTAAATGCCCTGAGCGTCTTTCATTCACCTTGGCTGATAATGTCTCAATTTCATCAATTTCCTAGGTAACAGTCTTGGAATTAGATCTTAAAACTCTAACACTATCCAGTAAATCAATATCCTAACCTTCAGAAGATATATATTAAATTCACAGTCCGACCTTTCATCTGACAACTGTTCTTTCGGCGAGTCCTAGAGTTCTAACGGTACAACAAGCCCTAAAAATTTTTAGATAAAGCAAGGACAACATAAAATAATAAAAACTTTGCTGCATCTTATTTCACACTGGCTGTAATGCTGATTCTCTTTGGAGATTTTAAGAATGCTACAATGATATTTAATAATGTTTCCTGGAGATCAAAAAAGGTTTTAAAAGCACACACAGTTTTTGTCAGTTAAAAAAAAAAAGCAATCTCTTGATCTAAGGGAGTAGTATAAAAAGAATTGACCATCCATAGGGGACAACAGAGCCACAAAAAAATGATACTACAGTTCATTCCTAGGGAGTT